GGCAGCCCCCGGAGTAAAGACCCCTCTCGGGTGGACCAGTGTGAGCAGGGAGGCCAGAATTCCGGGCTGGGGACCTGGGGGGCCTCGCTGCATCCTCAGCTGTCGGGTGGCTACACCCTGCTGGTGGCAGAGGGCGGCCCGAGCCTGCAGAGAGAGCTTTGCAGTTGAGCAGGCCCTCGGAGCTGCCGGAAGCCAGCCCGCACCGCAGGCTTGAGGAAGGGCCCCTCCTTGGTGGTTTCTTAGTCTTTCCTTCCCTTGCGGGCTGGATGCTTGCCTTCTTTCTGGGTCCCGGATGGGGCCTCTAGAGGCTGTGGGGGGCGAGGAAGGGCAGATCCCCAACCAAGATTTCCGTTGTTTTCACTCTTTCAAGTAAAAACCTACAACCCAGAAGAAGTAGCAAGTATGAGGAAGTGTACGGGGCCGTTAGAGCCCAATTCAAAGCTCCCCTCCTGGCTGTGGGACCGTGGCCTCCTCACTTCACTCCCTGGGCCTCAGTTTCTCGCCTGTTAAATGGGGGTTATGGGTGTGTGGGGAGCAGTGTTTGCAAAGTGCTTAGCACAGCCTGGCACAGGGAAAGCCCTCTGGATGCCGTTGGTGGGGGGAGTCTTTAAACCCCGGGGCTTAGCCCCCAGGAGGAGGTGTGCAAGTTGTGTGCCCCTGGGGCTTCTGGGGGGGAACCCCTCCCCACTGGTCACCACGGCAGCATTGCCAGACCCCTGGCCCCCACACATCAGCTCCGGCCCCAGAGTCCTGGGCTCGTGGGGAGCAGAGCTCTTTCCCACGGTGCCGGTCTGGGCCCGGACACCTGCGGCTGAGCCGGTTCTACCAGCCCAGTGGGCACCGGGGGCGGGTGGGGAGGAAGGAGAATAAGACTGAAACTGGCATTTATGGGGCATTAAACTGTGGTCAACCTCTCTCAGGCTCTGGGCTTCAGGTCTGCAGTTGACTTGTTAAAAAGGGAAGTTGGCAGATATCTGGGGGTGTCCCCAAGGACCAGACAGCCAGACATAAGTCTTTCTAGCATCTGCTTCCCAGAGATACTGTGCACTGTCTGTCAGTATCCTTCTTAGCAATAAGAAGTTTCTTTACCTTTGCCTCAGTTTCCCCATCTTTAACATGGGGATAAGCGTCTGCCTTATAGAATAATGTAAAGCTCTTAGAGCAATACCTGTCACCTTGGGAGTACACAGAAAGTTAGCTGCTATTATTACCGTCCTAATATTATTTTATTTTATTTTTAAAATTTTATTTCAGAGAGAGCACACACGTGAGCGGGGGAGGGGCCGAGGTAGAGGGAGAGAGAATCCTCGAGCAGACTCCCCTGTGAGCACGTAGCCCAACGCGGGGCTTGATCCCAGCACCCCGAGATCATGACCTGCATCGAAACCAAGAGTCAGCTGCCTAACAGACTGAGCCACCCAGGCACCCTGATGGTTATAATTTTAAAATGAGGAGCTCACTGTGTGTCAGGCAGTATGCAAAGCCCCATATGTGTATTTATTGAATTTATTAATTTCATTTAACCCCTTGACGCTACCCAGACATTCCCGTGATCCCCATTTTACAGATGAGAAATCTGAGGCTCCAAGACCTGAAGAGGCTTACCCAAGGTCACGTGCCTGGTCAGGAGCAGATCCTGAGCTGGCCCCGGGTGTACTTGATTTCACAGCCCCTTTGCTGTGGGCGGTGCTGGGTCTGCACCCAATTCACAGATGAGGAAACTGAGGCAATGAGCGTCTGTCAGGTGGCTGTGTGAGAAAGCTGAGGTTTGAGTGTGGGTCCAGCAGGTACTTGAGGACTGGGGAGCCAGGGCAGCTGGGCTTCAGAGACACCTGCACGGACCTGGGAGCCTGTGTCCCCAGCCTGATTCCCAGCATCCGCCTCACCTCTGCCCCTGTCAGTGGGAAGTCAGGCCGCTTTTTTTGTTAATTTTCTTCTGCACACACATGGTCAGGCTCTGCGGGGTCCTTCCTCCCTCCACCGTCAGCCCCAGGGAGCCCTCTGGCCCTCTGTGGGATTTCATGGTGGCTGGAGAGGGCTGCTGGTGGGTCCCTTCTTGCCCCCTTTTCAATCACGGGGCTCGGGTTTCTCCCAGCCCCCTAGAACCTGCAGCTTCCCCGTTGCTGGCCTCTGTTCCCTTCTGGGGAGTTACCCAGACCCGTTTCCACATCCCATGTGTGTCCCCAAATAGGATGCTCCTGGCAGCTCTGGGGGACAGCTCTGATAGCCTGTTCCCGAGCTTGGCAAGGTGCAGTTGAGGTTTGATGCTCTCCAAGGACCCCAGGGCAAGTCCTGGTGGGGGAACTGAGCCTGGTGCTAGCCAGGTGCTCAAGACAGAATGGACGAGGAGGTGAGCCCTGCCCAGACTCACCACCCCTGTTCACTCTGCACACGGCTCACTGAGCACCTGTGCTGCCCCCAGCTGTGCAAGGCGCTGAGGACATGGTGCTCTGGACATGAGGGTCCCTGTCCCCACGCTCTCTGGTGTGTGAAAACTTCAGATGTCTGTGGCATCTGCTTGCCCACTTTACAGATAGGAAACCGAGGCCAGATTAGCGGTAGCCCGGACCCCTGACCAATGAAAGCCGGGGGGGGGGGGTCGCTTCTTTTCCCTTCTCCCAAAATTCTCTCTCAAGCTCCACATGGCTCCTCTGACCTGACTTGTCCCCCTGTGGGGGTCTCTGGGCGTTCTGTCTGTGGTCTCCTGTGGTGGGGAGGATGGCGTACCCAAAGAAAATGTCAGCTCCCAGAGAGGGGAACTTACAGATTGCACATACCCATGACCTCACACCCAGGTCAAAGGCAGAACATTCTCTGCCTCAGAGCCGCCTCCTGTCCCTTCCTGGTCCCCCTCCCCGAAGGCAGTTGACTTTTCTCCTGATTTCAGGCTGCATAGGTTAGTGCTGGTATCTTGTGCTCTTTATATAAAGAGGGTCATAGTGCAATGGTTCTTTGCTTTTTGGTTTTTAAACATATCTTAGGGAAATTTTTTAGATGCCTTATTGAGATACAAGGCACGTATCCTACAGTTTACCCATTTAAAGTATGCAGTTTGAGGACCTTTTCATCACTCCCTCTCCCCTCCCTGCCATGAAACCCTATGCCGATTAGCCACCAACCCCACTATCACCCCACCCCTGGCAGCCAACAGTCTGCTTTCTGTCTCTGGATCTGCCGTGGATTGGCCTGTTCTGGTCGTCGCAGATAAATGGATCCTCTAAGATGTGGCCGTTTGTGTCCGGCGTCTTCCGCTCAGCACCTGCCTTCGAGGTTCGTCTACATGGTAGCGTGCATCAACACTGCAATCCTTTTTATGACCAAATAGTATTCCATCACCCCGGGCAACTGTTCTGAGTGTGCCCCTTCTTCAGACCTGGGATCTGAGGAATCTGAAACATGGTGTCCACGGACACTGGCTCCTGAGTTTGGCCAGGTGACCACCCCCCCGCCAAGTCAGCCCCACCGGGAGCCACGGGCGGGGGGGGCGGGGGGTGGACAGGAAGGAGTGTGGAGGTGGCTGTGGGCTCACGGAGGGGTCTGGGCATCCGAGCCAGGCTCCCCTTTCCCTTCTGGGAGGTGGGGGACAGGACAGGGGTCAGTCATGTGCTTCTGCTGGAAGCTTCCAACCCAGACAGTGTTTACCTCTCTGTGTACGTGGTACCGCCTCCTTCCCGGCGTGCGTTTGTTCAAGTTTTGAGCCCAAATCTGTTGACTAGCCCATCCCTGGACACACTCATCTTAAGTATCTGATCTCCTTCCACCTCCCCTGCCTGGGCATGCATCCTGGCTCCCTGGGATTACCAGCCTGGGCCGTGGGTCCCTTCCAAGGCCACTGCCCCTTGAAGTTCATGGGACAGAAGAAAAAGTAGGAAGCAGATTCTGCGAGAAAAGGGTGGCTTTTTGTGGGAAGGTCAAGTGGGCAAAGGCCTCCTTCCCTGCGGACCCACAGCCTGTCCCCCACCCAGCGACACCTGTGCCCAGTGACACGGCTGGGATTGAAATTCACCTTCTTCTGCCCCAAGCCCACACCTTTTTTTTTTCCCCAAACAGCTTTACAGAAATAGGGTTCACATACCATACAACTTGCCATTAAAATGTACAATTCCATGGCTTTTAGTACCCTCAAAGGTGTGCGTCCAGCCTCACAGGCAATTTCTGAATCTTTTGATCATCTCCTACAGAAACCTGGTACCCTTAGCTGTCCCTCCCTAGCGTTCCCACTCCCCCGGTCCCTGGACGCCCCTGGTCTCCATTCTGTCTCTACGGATCCACCTGTTCGAGACATTTCATGTAAATGGAATCCGTCACTGTGTAGTTCTGGTGCCTGGCTTCTTTCACTCAGCACACGTAATGTTTTCAAGGCTCAGTTGTGTTGCAGCGTGGATTCCTACTTCCTTCCTTCCTTGTTATGGATGAATAATACTCCATCGTCTGGGTGGACCACGAATTGTCTACTCAGTTGACGGACACTTGGGAGGTTTCTGCTGTGCGGCTATTATGAATAATGCTTCTATGCCGTCCGTGTATCAGTTCTTAAGTGGATGCATTTGTAGGCATGGAAGGGCCGGGTCCCATGCTAACTCTCCAGTCCACCCATCGAGGACTTGCCAGACTGTCTCCAGTCTCCAGGCCAACAGTCTGCTGCCCCAATTCCAGATTGGCCAAAGCAGGGTCTCCTCACCTGGGGTCTGTGATGGGCCTCAGGTAGCCTCTGACCCCTCATAAGGGGGCACACGTCTTGTGTCTCTGCATTTTTCTGGGGGTGAATGTCCAGGACACAGAGCGTCTTGGAGCCTTCAGATCCTTCCAGCTCCTAGTGGTCCAAGGTTAGAGCAGATGGCAGATCAATGCAGTGTATTCCAGTCTTGTCTCTGGACTTTTCTAATGGGACTTGCTCAGGACTAAGAAATACAGCCTGATGAGTGGTGAACATGCCATGTGACCTTGGCTTTTTTTCCCCCCTCTCTCTTTTCTCGGTGCTTCTCCCTCCTGGGACCCAGCAAGGAGAACTTCAACAACGTCCCTGACCTGGAGCTCAACCCAATCCGATCCAAAATCGTCCATGCCTTCTTTGACAACAGGTGCGTCTTTGTCCCTGAACCAGCCCTAAACCAACCTACTCTTGTCAGGGACATCCCATCGTTTTTGCTGAGCTCTCTTCATCCGAAGGGAGTCGCTAGGTCAGCCCACGTGAAGAGAGGGGACTACACAGGGGCTGGGTGCCAGGAGGCCAGAATAGTTGGGAGCCGTCTTGGGGGCTACCTCAGTTTCCGTATCTGTAAAATGAAGGTCACAATAGCGTCTGCCTCTCAGGGTTGCTGAGGGTGCACTGGGACAATGCGCACTAAGGAGTTGGCTGTCATTCTGCTTGTCACCCTGATGTGCAGAGAAGCTGAGGCACAGGCGGTGGTACAGTGTCCCAGAGCTGAGGCTCCAACCAGAGCTCATGCCTTCAAATGTCCAGCGTTGTTGGAGTTGAAAGACTTGTGTGACTGCATGGAGACTCACTGTGTCTGAGGCTCTATCAAGAGTTGGGTGGCATACGCCCTCCCCAGGCTGCCAGGGCCCTAGGCCTGCTCCCCATGTCTACAGAGATGGCTGAGAAACTGGGAGAACTGGCAGAAAGAGGAAGGAAGGGAACAGGCGTGTTGTGGCCAGAAGATGGGTGGTGACTTCCCAGAGGGGTTTCAAGTTTGTGAGTCTGAGTCACTCAGCTCTGGTTCTGCCAAGGCTGTGTGGCCCTAAGCAAGAAGCTGAGTCTCCCTGAACCTCCCCTGGTCGTGGGTAAGGGTGTAGGTGTCCTCAGCTGCCCTGAAAGATGCAGACGCCTGCCTGTAGGGCAAGGCCTGAGAGGCTGACCAAGAGTTAACAAGGCAAAGCCGAGAGAAAAGGTGTTCTGGGAGGACCGAACTGCATGTGCAAAGGCCCTGTGGCACAAAGAAAGTAGAGCAAGTGTGGGTGGCAGAAAGGAGGTCTGGCCAGAGCATGGAGAGGCCGTGCGAGATGAGAGGTGTGGGGAGGGCAGGGCTGCACCGTGCAGCCCCTTGACCAGCAAGAGGGCTCTTGACCTCAACCTGGGAGCAGCAGCGGGGGGCGCTGACGGGTTTAAGGCAGGGTGGGGATCGCAGACTCTGGCTGCCGGTGAGCTGTGGGGGACGGAGGCCCGGGAGGGGGTGTACTGTGGTCCCCCAGGCTGGAGGCAGGGCTGCTGAGGGGAGATGGAGGGCAGCGGGCAGCCCTGTGACACCTAGGAGGGAAGCAGAGAGGTCAGAGGGAAGGATGGGCCTGGGGTTGGAGGTGAGCAGCTGGTACCAGAGGAATCTGCACGGACGATCGTCACATTCGCCAGAAGGATGGCACACAGTCTGTGGTGAAGATGGGGTTGGAACGCTCTTTTTGCCTCATGGGCCCACACCTGCCTGTATGTGTCCGTGAGGCTTGTTTCCAAAAGGCTCTGCGCAGATCTGGCCCCTTGGGAAGCTGGCCAGGCATCGGGGATGCAGCCTTCTGTGGGGCACAGCTGGGGGGGCCGGTGGCTCCCACAGCCTGAGGTGAGCTAGGGTGGCCCTGCTGCTACCAGCTGCTTCCTGGGGCCTAGCAGGCTGGTCCCCTGAGCCTCCCCCTGCCCTAGCAGAGAGTGTGTTCAGACTGGAGAGAGGGCGCTCCTGGTGTAGATGAGAATGTTCTGGGTCCTGACTGGGGCGTGGGTTATACAGGTGCATACTGTTCAAATGCAAAATCTGTGCCTTTGTATGTAATTATTCCTTAAAAAAAATCTGACCCCGGGTCGCAGCTTGGCTTTCATCTGTCAACGCGTGGGAACTGGGCACGGCTCCAGGAACTGTGTTTTCAGCTCACGGGGTGGCATTCAGGTGTCTGCTGGGCTGCTGTCCGTGAGCCTCTGCCTGGGGGGTGGGGTGTGGGCCTGAGGCTGGAGCTGCGGCCTCTGGCTAGGGGACAGGAAGGTAGGGCCCATACAAGCAACCACTGGATTTGGGGGCGGCCAGTCAGAGGCAGGAGAGATACCCTCCCCCCCACCCCACTTACCTGGAGGGTCTGACAGCCATCGGAGGACTGGGGCAGGTGCAGTGCTGCCTGCAAGGGGGCGGGGAGGGATGTTGGTCGGTCAGGGAATGCTGAGTGTCCAGAAGGTGGATGTCGAACCAAACCTCTGGGGGCCCCTGAGGAGTGGAGGGTGACAGGAGGGGGTGTGCTGGGCTGGGGTGGATGGTGAGACCAACACCCACCTTCTGCGGCCTGGAGGAGCAGGGGGTAAGGATTGAGGCTTACCCTGAGATTTGAAGCCTCTGGAGGGCTTGGAGCTGGGGAGCAGTAGGGTGCGATTTGCATTGTGCAAAGCTCCCTCCGGTCCCACTGGGGATGGTGGAGGCTGAGGTAGGCCGTGGCAGGTGCGTGAGTGGGCAGGCAGCCTGGAAATCTCTGAAGAGGGGAAGATTTAGGAAGGACTCCCCCAGCCTTGCCCCAGAACAGCTTGGGGCCTGCAGCTAAGAGGCTGTACACTCTTCTCCATCCTTCACTTTTTTTTTTTTTTTTAAAGATTTTATTTCTTTATTTGTATGAGAGAGAGAGCGAGCGCGCGTGCACTCGTGAGCGCACAAGCAGTGCGGAGCTGCAGGCAGAGGGAGAAGCAGGCTCCCCGCTGAGCAGGGAGCCCGATGTGGGGCTTGAAACCAGGACCCTGGGATCATGACCTGAGCTGACAGCAGATGCTTAACCGACTGAGCCACCCAGGCGCCCCCACATCCTTTGCTGCTGCTCCTGGAAGCCCTGAAGTGGTGGGGGGAGGACTTTGGAGTGGGTCCCAGAGACAGAATTTTCCTCTCAAGAAAGACCAGGGTCAGCCTTGCTTCCAAAGATCCTTCAGGACCTGGACTGTGGAGGGAGGGCAGTGTGAGCAGGGTCCTTCCCCACCTCCAAGGGCTCCGTTCCTTACAGAATCATTAGAAAATTAAGGATGAAAAAGATTGCTCTAAACTGGGCATCTTTGCAAAAGGAATGAAAGCTGCCCGCTTGCTGAGCCCCTGCTGTCTGCCGCCAGGCACCGTGCAGCCACGAGGCGGGCCCTGCTGGAGCCCCGCCTGGAACGTGGGCCCTTCCTGGCACCTTCTGCAAAGCACGTTGCTAGGGACAACCTCGAGCCTGCCTTGACTTATTAAAAGATCTGAAGTTATCAGTAAACTTTGCACTTTGGCAGTAAACCAGTGACTCAAGCCCTACCGAGCTGATCACTACCGGAATTGCAAACAGCTTGATAGAGAGCAGGAGTCGGCTAACTTTTTCTGTAAAAGGCTACAGAGTAAATATTTTAGGCTTCATGGGCCATGTAGAGTCTGTGAGAGCGGCTCCACTCTGCCGTGGTGGCATGAAAACAGCCACAGACGCTGAGTAAATGAATGGGTGTGGCCGTGTGCCAATAAAACTTTATTTAAAGACATTGACGTTTGAATTTCATGTAATTTTTGTGAAATTTTGTCATGAGATGCTATTATTACTTTGGGGTTTTTTCTCCCCCCCAAACATTTTTTCAACTATTTAAAAACCTAAAACCCCTTCTTCATCCATGGACTGGACAGAAATAAGCAGCAGGTGGGGGTCGGGCCATGGACAGCAGTTGGCCAGCTTTGGATCTGAAGGAAAGGGTCAGGAGAGGTGGCTCGATGAGTTACTGAATTGCTCGGTGCCTTGGTTTCCCCACGTGTGAGTGCCCACTCCTGGGCACCCCAGCCCTCACCAACAGCAGTGTGGTTGTGGTCTCGCCCCGGCCCCCCCGTGCGGTGAGCTCTGGGATGGCAGCCCTGGGCTTGGGCTAAACCTCCGGGGGCAGCCCCGTCCCGCCCTGGCGCCCCTGCAAGCAGGTTGCTGGGAAACGGAACCCAAGGCTGAGATGGCCATCGCGGGCGACGCGTGGGCACAGAAGGGCCGCGTTCCCCAAAGCATCGCAGGCGAAGGGACAGGATCCGGGTTTGTGCGCTGCCGACGTGTTCCTCTCTCCTTCCCGTAGGAACCTGCGCAAGGGGTCCAGCGGCCTGGCTGACGAGATCAACTTTGAGGATTTCCTGACCATCATGTCCTACTTCCGGCCCATCGACACCACCATGGACGAGGAGCAGGTGCAGCTCTGCCGGAAAGAGAAGTTGAGATGTGCGTGTGTGTTGGGGCCGGGCCGCGTCTCCCTGGGTGCCCCCGCGCCCCTGCAGCCGGCGGGTGGGCGAGTGTGGAGGGGAGAGCCGGGGGACGCCAACCCACGTCCTTTGGGAGGTCCGTCCCAGTTGACAGCACCCACGGAGGCCCCCAGGGGGTGTTTCTCCCCCCAGGTTGTGCCGTGGCGGCTGGGGTTCTCAGGGGATGTGAAAAGAGCAAGGCCCTTGGTTCAGACAGACCTGGGATCCCATCAGGCCCCTTCTGCTGAGCAGCCATGTGACCTTGAACCGGGACACGGGGTGCTGATTGTGAACACACGCTGGTTCTGAGGCTCAGTGAGGTCACCCAGGCAGCGCGCACCCTTGGCACCTGGGAGGAGCTCCGTGAACCTGTTTCTTCCCTCGTCCTTGAGCTGCCTCAGACGCCAAGTTCACCAGACAGGCCTCTGGCTGATCTGTCCTGGCAGAGCCCCCCTGGGCTCTGGAGCCTGCTTGGTTGTGATCCGGGCTGGCCAGCAGCATGGGGTCCCAGGGTGGCCTGCGTCACATGTCCCTGCTCCATGCAGACTTTCTCAGGACTCCTGACGTCCCACCGTAGGCCACCGGGAGGCTCAGGCTTGTTAGGGGAAACAAGTAAACATGGGGACTGGGCCGTATTTAGCTCTGGAATGCGTACGTGAGGGCTGGTGGGAACTGTCCGGGCTGGGGGCCCCAGAGGCCCCCCTCTGGTGCTCCGGACCAGCGGGGGAGCCCAGTGTCGGCCCAGCGTCCCACCTGCTCTGAGGGCCAGGTCAGAGGTCGTGGGGGCTCCCGGTTTCCCTTCCCTTAACAGGGCGGCCGTGGGCAAACACGTTAACTTCTCTGTGCTTCCATAGTATAGTCTGTGTGTGAAATGGGCTCAGGGCAGCCTCGCCTCGCGGGGTCATGTGTGGACGAGACGTGAAGATGTTTGCCGCATGTTGCCCGGGGTGCCCGGTCCATGCTGGATCAGTGGCAGTATGGGGGACTTGGTGAGCTGCAGGCTGAGCTGCTGGGCCGGAGGGGCTGCCTTCTCTTCCGCTCTTGGCCTCTTCCTGGGCTGCCCGATGCAGAGTGATGTCCATCAAGGGGCAAAGCGAATGACACAAAGTGGACTAACCAGAGGAGGTGCTGGTGTCCCTCCCCTGTGCCCACGGGGGGCCGGCTCAGACCAGCCAGAGGCCAGAATGTTGGCAGTGGGGTCTGTGACCTGCCGATGAGAGCTGCCTGCTTGGGTCTTTGAGGAATGATGCCTCATTAAAAAACAAAACAAAACAAAACAAAACAAAAAAACAAGTAATCTCTGTACACAACGCGGGGCTCAGCCAGGTGCCCTGAGGAATGACAATTTGAAATAACATTGATCTGTCTTTGCATCAATGTCCCCTCTGTGCTCAGAGTGTGCAGGGATCCTTGGTCCTGATCCACCAGCTCTGTGGTTCCCTGAGCCCGTGCAGCACCCAGAAGTAGATGCTGTTGTTGTTATTCCCATCTGACAGATGGGAAAGCTGAGGCTCAGAGAAGTTAGGTCATTTGCCCAAGGTCACCCACCAGGAAGTAGGCAGTCTGACCCCACGGCCTTTGCCCTTGACCCCTACATTATGGATGTCTTTGGCTCATTTTGAGCAAGAAGGTTGGGGAAGCAGGGGGACGCAGGGCTCCCCTCCCGGCTCGTCTGACCAAGCCCCCCATTCCCCTGTCGCCCCCAGTTCTGTTCCACATGTATGACTCGGACAGCGATGGCCGCATCACCCTGGAAGAATATCGAAATGTAAAGTATGCTCCTCCGCCCACCGGCCAGGGCTCCTGGCCCCTCCCCGCCCCCGGCCCGGACGGAGGCCCGAGGTCACCGTGTGTCTACCTCACCCGGCAGGTGGTGGAGGAGCTGCTCTCCGGAAACCCGCACATCGAGAAGGAGTCGGCCCGCTCCATCGCCGACGGGGCCATGATGGAGGCAGCCAGCGTGTGTGTGGGGCAGATGGTGAGCCGTGTCCCTGGAACCCCCGACCCCCTGCCCCCGACCGACCCCTGCCCCGCCTTGGCCGGCTTGCTTCTGGAAGGCCATGAGAGGAGACCCCCAGGCCATCGGCTCGCCACACTGTTGTCAATCGAGGACAGTGGCTGGGAGGGGATTTCCGGCCTGGGGACGGACAGGGTCAGCAGGGGCTCCCCTCTGGGCTCCTTCGTCTGGGGCCCCAGCGCGGACCTGGGAGTGGTGACGTGCGTCAACAAGATGGAGGAGTGGGGCTCAGGGCCGGCGCCTGTGGAGGGGAGCCCCCCACCGGCCCCCAGAAGGGATGCGCGGGCCAGAGGTGGGTGGCCGTGGAGGCTCCACGTTGCTGCTGAGGGCCGGCGGCGGGGCTGAGCATCGGGGTCTCTGCACAGGTGCTGGACACCCCTGGAGGCTCGTCGGGTCGTGCTGATGTCAAGATGGCTGGGGCATTTCTCAGGACTTTGCGGACCGGTTAGAGCAGGGCTGCTCCCCCTGGCGCTGGTGACTCATGGGGCGGGACAGCCGTCCGTGGTGGCAGCCGTCCGTGGTGGGGACAGTCCTGTTTAGCCGCGTCCCTGGCCTCCACCCACTGGATGCCAGTCACTCCCTCCCAGTTGTGACAACCAAGAACGTCTCCAGACACGGCCGGGTGTCCCTGGTGGGGGAACGGGTTCGTCCCCAGTGAAGAACCACTAACGAGAGGGGCACAGACGTAGATGGTCCACAGAGGGGGTGCTGCGCGGTAACCGACTGAGCAGGGGCTACCAGCAAGCACGTGCTGGGTTGTCGGGCTGTGGGGGCACGTGCAGATACGCCCCAGGCAGGCCAGGCGCCCCCCCCCGCCCCCGCTACGCTCCTGTCCCCGAGGGCAGCTGCACTGTCTGTGCACACATTATCGCAGGGACACCCCGTGCATCGTTTTGTAGATTTGTAGTCTCGTGTTCCTGGTGGGGAAACCAAGGACATAAAGAACTTTCCGGAATTCAGGGGCAGCGATCCTTACTCTGCCTGGTGGACTCACTCTTGTAGGGCTGGGTCTAGCCTGGCTAGCCCCTGACACGGTGGCTTTGAGCCCCAGGGACCCCGAGGACAGGCACCCAACCCTCTCTGTGACTTTGTTCGCTGAGGGTGTCGGCTGGTCCCGCTGAGGCCATCGCCTCTTCACACCTGTGTATTTCACGTGGCCGTGGCTCCAGACACCTGTGGCTTTGGGCTCACCAGGGCCTGAGTGGAGCGGCGTCTTCCTGCCAGAACCTGCTTTTTGTGCTCCAAGCCTGCCATCAAGGGGCCTGCTCCCCGGGGGTGGGGGCTGTGGTCATTGCGGTCATTGTATTGGCCTGTGTTTTATCTGTCTGCCTCTCAGGCCCCGGGGGAGGCTTCTGGGAAACCACCCCACTCAGCGAATTGCCTGCAGCACAGAGGGCTGGTGACCTCAGTGGGGAGCACAAGGATCCGCGCCCTGTTGTCGAGCCAAATTCCCGTTTGATTTAATGACACTCTCCTTTAAATGGCTCCCCATCCCCACTCCACTTTCAACTGGTGACAGTTTTCTTAATTTGCTGTAGTAAAATAGTTGGCGGCTGACAGCTGCTGACCTGCATAAGCTGCACAAACCTCAGAAGCGGAGGCATCTTAGAGCCGATATCTGCTCTCCGGGTGTGTGCCCTGAGTGTCTTTCACTTATTTACGGGTCCTCGGTGTGCTCTTAAAATATTTTCTCCTGCAAACATCGGCCAGATACACGAGCTGTGGGCGCTCACACCCACGTGCAGGACGAGGGCCGGCCACGTGGCTCAGTACCGTGTGGCCTCCGAGGACGCTTAACAGGCCCCCCCCCCCGAGCTGCCCCCCCCCCCAGGGCGCCAGTGGGCTTCCAGAGCCGGCTCTTGCCTGGAGCAGTGCTGGCTTTCCAGAGTGTCTTTCTCTGGAAGGACCCGTGGCTTGAGGATGGGGCTGCTAGGCTGGGGGTCTCAGCTGGGAGGTGGGGGGCTGCCCCCACCCACTCCTGCCTCCCTCCACGCGCGCCCACCCTCCCGTCCTGCTCTCGGGCTATGGAGCCCCATCTGTAATTAGCTCTCCTCGGCTGCTCTCTCTCTGAAGGCAACCCCGGGTCCCTGGGGCATCCACCTCTCCCCGTGCCCCTGGGTGGGAAGAGCAGGGAGCCCCAGGGGACAGGCCCGGGAAACTGGAGAACTGGTTGCATTTATAAGATTTGAAAGCATATATACATTAGTTTTCTGTACGAAAAACAAGTGTTAGGAAACCGCAAAGGGTGAGGAATCCAATCAGACGCTTGGAGCCCACTGGGCTCCTCCCAGCTAGACCGGTGGCCTGGCCTCTAAAATGGGAGTAAGGGCAGGATCCAGGCGGCAGACACCCAGGGTGCCCGCTGTTTCCTTCAGTAGACAGCAGGACAACTCCGGAGAGGTGTACGATCTCCTGGGGCTTATCTTTCAATACTCACTGGCGTATACGTGTATGTCTTTATTTCTGATTTACACAAACCGGAATTGAACAGATCCCTTCTCGTCTTCTCCGTACGGCCCTCCCCCCACCCCCTCCACAGGGTGGACGGTGGCTGTCCGGTTAGCAGCGTAGGAGCTGCTGCCACCTTCCTCCATGTTTCTGTCCACTCTGGATCTTGGAGCCTTTTCCGCATCCACACATAGAGGTCGACCCCTTCTTAATGGCTGCTTAGTAGTCGGTAGCACAGATGACCAGGATTTATTTAGCTTGTATTCCGTGGATGGACATGGATGGCGGCCAGGTTGTCACTGTCACAAAGGGTGCTGCAGGCGGGGGTGAGGTTGGGGGAGGCTTGGCGGTGCCAGAGCCCGAGATAGCAGCACAAGGGCCAGGAGCCCCACCTCTGGCCTCATGAGGTCCGGGTGTGCCCAGAGCCGGACAGACGCAGATGGAGACTGGCACTGACCATGACCGGCTGGGGGAGAGGCCTGGCAGGTGGCCCTTATCATGGTGACTCAGTGGGCACGAGGGGTGGGCCGCAGAATCCAGCCCTCCCGCCACCCGCCCCCCCCCGCCCCAGTGGTCAGTGAGCTCAGAGGGTCAGGGCGGGTACAGTGAGGCAGGACCGGGAAATGGCAGGAGGTGTCCATTGGTGGCTGAGGGGAAGGGGAGTCTGTGCCTCTGTGCCCACCCACTTCCTTTACACCCTCATCCACCGGGTCCCCCATGGGGGGCTCGGGTGGGGCCCTGGTTAGCCCGCACCCTCCTTCTATCCTGCTGTCACGCCAACAAAGGGGACGTTGGAGTTCAGGGTGATGGCCTCAAGCTGGATGCAGCAGTCTGGAGGGACCCCGCTCTTCTCGTGACTAAAGGGGCCCACCATCTGTGTCCTGGGGAGGGAGAGGGGTCTCCTGGCGGAAGCCGCTCACTCTGCATGTGCTCTGTTCCCAGGAGCCTGACCAGGTATATGAGGGGATCACCTTCGATGACTTCCTGAAGGTGGGTGTCTAGGAGGAGAGGTGGGGCTTGAGGGGTGTCCGCTGATCAGGAAGAGACCCGCATCTCTGTGGAAAGGGGTCATGCCTGGGCGTGACCTTTAAAACACAGGTTTTACTTTTATTGGAGGAGTAATGTTCACCTGTGGCCAGGGCACTTGAAGCAGTACAAAAGGGTTCCAACAAAACCTGTCTCTCTCCTACGAGTCCCTGGTGGCCTTTGCCATAAGCATCGCTGTTGATGGTTGGAACCAGGTTCTGGAGTATTCTATGCCTATATGAATACCAGCTGTGTGGGGTTTTGTCGCTTGCTTTTCCTGTGCCTTGGCTATAGCCGCCCAGTCTTCCAGCCCCCACAGGTGGGCACCAGGCCTCTGCTGTCCCAAACGTGCTCTGAGGTTAGGAACCAAGACCCCTCACTGCTCTGATGGGTACATACCCAGCGGAGGGAGGCGAGCCCCCTCTGCCCTCTGGCACTGCGTGCGTACCTTGACAGTGGGTCGGCCGGGCTCGTTCTGGAATTAGAGGAAGGACAGAAGTCGGGGGAACAGGACCCAGAGGCTCTGGTCCAGTGTGCCATACCAGCCTCGGACAGGGGCCTGGGCCTGGAGCCAGGACAGGACTTGGGTGGTCACAGCCCCACGGAGCCCAGGGGCAGCTCAGATGGGCGCTCCTCCCAGGCTGCAGGGCTAACCTGGCCGGTCAGCAGTGAGCTCTGCAAGGGGGCGGGGCAGGCAGCAGAAGCTTCTGGGTCTAGGTGGACAGCCTCCTCTGTCCTCACACACCAGGCCTGGACGGGCAAAGAAGCCCGAGACAGCCCGCTTCTTCCCCAGAAGGCTTCCCCTATCTGCCGCCCCATGGCTCCGGTGCTCCCCAAGCCTGTCCCCACACCACGGGGGCCTTTCCTAACCAGCTGGCCCTTCCGCTCCCCTGAGCCTCACCAGTGCCTCTGCTGCCACCCGGCATTTAGCAGAAAGCACCCTGGGTGCCCAGGTAGCTTCCCTGGGAATGAGGGTTGGAGCTGCTCCCCGGGAGCCGGATCTGATCGCTCTGCACCCTCACCAGACCCCACAGCACCCAGAGCAGATGCAGGAGACCACAAAGTAGCTGGGGGAACGGTGGGCGTGTGACAGTGGCAAGAATGGCACCCAGGCCTCCCTGCAGCGTGGGTGCCGACAGGGCTCTGACTGAGCCTGCTCACAGCCTGGTGACTGTCCCTGGAAATGCTGCAGGTGACAGCCCAAGGGTTTGAACTTCTCACACAAGCAGGGAGACAAGTCATGCCCACCGTGGCCAGCCATTTCTCCATCTGTGGCCCTCTCGGGCCCTGAGTGGCCAAGGAGCTGGCAAGTGTAGTCCTGGGAGTTGGGGGGGGGGTCTGTAGTGTGGCAGATAGGGTCGGGCGGCCTCGAGGTGTCCCCTGGGGCCCAGGCCAGGACGGACTGTAACGGCAGGACCAGGTAGGTATGAGGCAATGGGCGTCTGTGGGCAGAAATTATCCTTCCCGGGCATAAGCTTGTGTGTGTAGAACGGGGTGACCTATCCCAGGGACGTTAGAAAGACCAAACTGCTGTGACCTTTTAATTAAGGAAGATGGCTTAATAAAACTTGGCAGTTGCACAGTGCTTAATAGCTTACAAAATGTTCCCGCGGATGATTCCGTTTGAGCCCCCAGCGTTGCGTGACTTACGTGGGCAGCGCAGGTGGTGGTCTCGGCATTGTACTGATGAAGAGGAGGTTTAATGGGGTTAAGGAATCTGCATGAAAATCAGCCCAAAGTGGGGTGGGTGGGATTGAAATGACTTGGAGCCGAGAGCTTGGATTCCGTTCTTAATAATAACTTGCTGTGACAATATCAGAAAGGATCCAAATGTCAGAGCCAAATTAACCCGCTGAAAGGCAGAGGGAAGTTTCTCTTCCTTGCTCAGCTCACAGTCTTGAAGCCAGCCCTCTGGTTTTCACCTGCCCTGGTGGTGGGGAGGGCGGGCGGGGGGACCCGGGTGAGGCCCCGGGCCGGGCGGTGGTGGGAACACGCGCTCACAGTGCTCTGTCCGTTGCAGATCTGGCAGGGGATAGACATCGAGACCAAGATGCACGTGCGCTTCCTTAACATGGAAACCATCGCCCTCTGCCACTGACCCGCCTGCCCCCCGAAGCCGCGCTGTGCCCGCAGCCTCCCACGGGGCCCGAGGCCGCAGGTGTCCTTCGGCCATGGCTCTTGTAAATAGTCCCCAGTCCTCCGCTGTCTCGTTTTCCCTAGGGTGTGGTATGTGGAACTTCGCTGTTTTTATCTCTAATAAAAAAAGAAAACGGTTGGTTTGTTAATGAACGTGGCTCCTGTCTGTTCCCCAAGGCCACTTGGTGGTCTGGCCACTTGGTGGCACAAGGCTGAAAAGGAGCAGGCAGCGGCTAGTTTCCAAAGGCTGGTTTGGCAGAGAGGAGGCTTTCTCCTTCTTTTTCTGGTTTAATTTGGGTGAAGTGTTCGCTCTTTTCGCTGCACGAGTGCTGGGCAGTTGGGTGAGGCACGGCAGCTCCCTGCTCCGTGGTGGCCAGGATGTGGGTGGCGGGGCTCCTGCGGTGTCGTGACCCGAGCGTCTGGGCCAGAGGAGAGGACAAGGGGGACCTGCGGTGGCGTGCCTGAGGAGGCCTGGCTGCCGACGCCCTCCCGGGCCCAGCGTGGGGCAGACCCCAGTGGTGGTGGCGGCAGGGGAGGTGACTGTCCCAGGTCAGTGGCTCCCAAAGCTCTAGTCACCTTCTGATTCAGGGGCGGGCTATGCTGGGGGCAGGGAAGTGAAGGTTGTCCATCTGGTTGGGGGCTGTGTCCAGTGGGTCAGCAGAGGCTGGCTTGGGCTAAATGCTCGGAGTTGGCGCTCAGTGAGGCCAGCGTGGCTGTGGTCACCATGGTCAGTCACTGCTGGTGGCATTCCAGGCCTCCTCGCTCGGTTCCTTCCATCCACACTCACCGGGAGTTTCCTTTCTAGCCTCCCAAGAAAGTTCTGGTAGCTGACAACCGCTGTTACTGGCATTCTCCATTTCCATGGCTTTGTTACTAGGTGGGCATCAGGGTTTAGAACGTGAAAGGTGCAGGAGGGCACCCCACACGGCCTTGATCCTGGGCTCACCAGGCCCTGGCTTGCCCTTCCCGGAGGCAGTCAGGTCAGCCCATTTCTTCCACATCTTTCTGGGGCCGTTCATGCAGACGCGACTGCAGTGCTGAGGATTTAAGTGAGAAGCTGGAACCAGGCAGTGAGGCGGGGTGAAGGGGAGTGTGATCGTGTTTGGGGCGGAAGTCCCGAGGCTGGTGCACCGTGGCGGTGGGGGTTTGGCAAACGCTCCTCATTTAGGACCTTGGAGGTGAGAGCGGACCCTTGCTGGCATCCTGTTGGTAGTCTGCGTGTAGCAGGACTGCCCCCTGGACCCCGGGGCCTGAGGGATGCTGGCCTCCATTCCCCCAGGTCAGGGCGGACGGCTGTCCAGCAGCGCGGCCCCATCTGTAGAGAGCGTCTGAAGTCACTTCCAGAGCTCTGCTGTTTAGCACTTCCTCAAGTGTTTTGCCATTTCCAGAGCGGTAGGTGGGGTGAAGGCAGAGGCCTCGGCTTCCTCCCCTCCAGGTGTCTGCCATCAGGTGGGCCAAGGAACTGGGAAGCAGCCAGCCAGCCAGTTTCCTGGAGCGGGACGCCGGGCCCCTGTCCGCCCTGGCTGCTTGGGGATCGTCCTGCTGATGCCCTCAGTTTCCCGGCTGCCAGTGGGATGGCCTGGTGCGTGGAATCCGGCGCTCTGTCAGCAGCATTCCTGCTGGGGGAGTCCTCTGCAGCCTCGCGGAGGCGGCCCTCCCGCCCTTCCCCAGCCCTGGCAAGCTGGATGGGGACCCCCTCTGCCTTTGAGCAGTAGGACCGCTGGTGTGGCCACCGTAGGCCTGGATCTTCTGGGACTCTCCCAGTTTGCTTTGATGTTGTGCTCCTCCACAAAGGCAGTTCGTTAGTGTAAAGCATTTTGTATAAATAATGAATCTTCCATCAGCCTCTGTGGTCTGGGCTTTAGTTTGGGAGATGTGCGCATATGGGCATCCCCTGTGGGCATACATCAGATGTTTTCATGTGCTCAGACCACTGAGGGTCACGGCTTACCTAAACAGCTAATTAGAATGAGAGCTACTACTCACCATGTCCATGTGGCTCTAAAGAGAGCTCAGTTGTTCCCAGTCACCGAGGGTGTCCTCTGATTGGCAGGGTTAGGGTGGCCTGCAGAGTTGACCGGGAGCCCTCCCACCGGCTCCCAGGGTGCTAAGCATGTGAGGTGGCCGTCTTGCTCATTCGGTCCTTTAGGGGATGATCAGGGTTGTCTGTTAGTTGGTGCAAACCTACTTCTAGAAAGGGCAGGTTAATTCCCCACAGTCTAGCAGGGCTGCCGGCCTTTGGTTCACAAAGAGTTGCCGCTCCGGGCACGGAGGACGGGTCTCAGGATGGCCATTTGGGCGGTGTGGTCTATGCAGAGGCAAGAGGCTCAGAAACCGCACCTGTTACCTGCCAGGCCAGCGAGGGTGCCTGGGAGGGGCTTTCGGGCTGCACAGCCACCCCCGCCCCCCGGGGTCCTTGATGGAGCACCTCATCTGAAGCAAGTGATGTGTGTTTTGGAATTTGTTCTATAACAGGCAGGTTGGTGAATCAACAGATATACTTGTTGAACAGCCCTCTCTCTATCAGAAATGACACCAGCGGCTAAAAGGAAATGGGCAGAAATCAATGCTAAGTCAAATATTTGAGGGAAGCACGTGCTTGGAGGGCCTCGGGCTGTGGGTGGGGACCGAGCTCGGGGAGGGCGCGTGGCAGTGGTCAGGTCGCATGTGGGGCCTGGTCCCCTGCCGCCGCATCATGGAAAAGTTATCGGAACTCAGCTTTTAGGTGTTAAAAGAATCTGGCAGTTTGACACAAATGCATCGGTCTGGTAGGTTCACCAGAGGGCTGTGTCACGGAAATTGAAGAGGAGAAGCTCGGGGGACACATCCTGCAGCCACGTTAGACAGGAATTATGGTAAGGGAAGAGGGTACGATCACAACAGCTCCCAATTCCAGCCAAGCACCCTCTTGCTGGACTTGAACAAAACAACTCTATTCTTCTCTGGCCCAAGGGACTAGAAAGTTCTTTTTGTGCTCTGCTCATGGGAGGCCGGGCACCTGTGCACCTGCCCCTGCCCCCACCTGCCTGCCGAGGCTAAGCTGCTGAGAGAGTTAAACATACAAGTTGCCTTGGCAAGGGTTTTGCAAACACCTGCTTTGCAAGCTGTCCTCCCACACAGTGACCTTGGGAAGGCCTTGGAGAGGGGAGCCGGAGGAGCCACGTTGTTTTTTTTTTTTTTTTTTTTACCACAACTTCCCAGGGTATCAGCACTGCCTTTGTCTCTGGGCTCTTCCAGAATCGGGAGGCAAGTGCCAGCTGGGGTTCAGTGGTGGGTGACCTTGGCCCCGCGGTGGCTGCTCATCCCTCTAACCCGACCAAGTCAGCAAGGGGACCAGGCTCCTCCGTGTTCAGCCCCAGGGCAGCCATCAGGGTGAGGGGGATGCTGAGCAGCAGCTCCTGCCCCCCCCCCCGAGGGCACGGGCCAGCCCACTGCTGGCAGTGGGCAGGGGAAGAAAAGATGGGCCGGGCTCAGCCCCCGGGGCTGCGGATAGCGTTCCCTCCCTCCCGAGGGAAGGAAAGGCCCTTGGTGCCGAGCCAGCGTGGAAAGCCTGTTGCTGGGAGCCTGCGGTGAGCGTCGGAGGCCGAAAGCTTGCCCTGCCTGGCGCCTGCCGGAGCCCAGCGAGAGGGAAGCCGCCACCACACGGCAGAGGTGGCCCTGGCCAGAGCGAGGCCGGCAGGACCTGCCCGAGCAGCCAGGTAAGCATCTGGCCTGGCCGCAGGGGCGAGGCGGGCAGGCCTGCGTGGCTCACAGAAGCTCCTGGCCGCCGCTGCAGCCGCTGCCTGTGACGGCAGGCCACCAGACGGTTCTAACGGGAGGACTGTGCCCTCACAGGGGGAAGCCATTTCTCCTCCATGGTAGGCAGGGTCCGTCTGCAGTAAGCTGGTGTTTGTCACTTAAGTGCCGGGGGGGAAGTGCCGTCCGCCTAAATGTGGGGCCTATAATTCTGAAGTGGGGTGCTGCGGTAGAGGACTTCCTCTTTCCCTTTCAGAACAGACCAAAAGTCTCCTCTTGGGGGCATCGTCAGCCAAGGTGCGATTTCTCCCTCCTGGGGAAGGTGAGGCCATCCCCAGAGTAGCTTTTAAACACATGTTATTGGCTGGGCAACAGCTGCACCAAGGCAGCTCATGGCTTGGCTTAAAAGGCACAGTCTAGGGGCAGAGAGGAAATTCTCTGGGCTGGGGTGGGCCCGGCAGTCCCCTTTGAGAATCTGATGAAAGCCAACCGGACTTCTTCCCAGAAAGTGCTCCTGTGTAGTTTTGGGTCTCTTGGATCCCGGGCTAGGAACCTGCGGAAGGGATGGTTCTGGGTGGTTCGACTCGACTCTGGGTCGAGTCAGGAACTGTGGTAGGCAGGGGTAGGTCCCAGGATACCTGGCCAGGGAAACCAGTAATTGAACAAGCAACGGATTTTAAAAATTTATTAGAACCAACAGACATAAAGTATAAGCAAAAGGCAGATGACATTTTAAGACCCAAGAGCTCTGGGGTGCTGGGCCCTCTGGCTCCCCCAGTGACATGAGTTTCTTCTCTTTAGGGAAGACAGAGGGGGAAGTGTCTGAGCAGCAGAAGAGCTACAGAAGAAAAGGAAATGATACATCTGCTCACAACTCCGAACTTGCAAAGAAACTCCCTCAAACTAGCCAACGGGGATGAAGGTAAGGTGGGGTGAGTGGAAGGGGTGGACGTGGGCCAAAGGGTTTTCTTTAAGTCACTGGGTAAATGTTGATTTCTAGAGGAACTCTGGTCCTTTCCCCACCTTCCACGGTGTAAAGTTTGCAGCAGCAAACTCGGATTCAGTCTGGATCTGATAAACCCTCCTTCACAAAACCAGGCAATTTTCCTTGAGAGAGGTTATAAACAGGGTGGGGAGGAAAGAAAACCCCTATAATCGTGACATTTTATACTGGACTACTGTTGGCAGCAAATGACAATAGTTTAAAACTATTTTTAGTTTTGGTAGAATTTTCTGGGTTTTCAAGGACCTTTCATGGCTGCAAAGCTGGGAAGGGAGAACACATCTGTAAAATGAGTGGTGAAATCAAACTGGAAGGGCCTGCCTCTTAAAAGAAAAATGTGTTTACTTAGCGGTCCAGTTGCACTAAGGCTATGAGAGATGAAAAACCTTAGAGAGCGAGGTCACGAGGGGGTCAGAACTTCATCTGCTAACTGCAGACTAGCTTCATTTCGGAAGTAATTTGGTTGAAAGGAAGCAGAAGGCCATCTGAAAGCAAGGGATGATTCCCAGGTGCAGCTCTTTCTCTGGGTCCACTGTCCTATCGAGTTGCACAGAGGTTTGTAATGATGGAATATCTTAAGCACTCTGAAAATACTTCCAATTTTATACACTCGTGTACAGTAGGAGAGCTTCGTTTTTCTCTCGGATTCATGTGGGTAGATCATCCCCACCCTGAAAATCCTGTGTGCATAATTACCTCCTTTTTTCGGTTTCTCACAGCCCCTTGTGCTTTTCTGTATCAAGAGGTGTATATTTTGGAGGCGCCTGGGTGGCTCAGTCAGTTGGGCATCCTGCTCTTGATCTTGGGGTTGTGGGATTGAGCCCTGTGCTCAGTGGGGAGTCTGCTTAGGATTCTCTCACTTGCCCCTCTACTCACTAAAAAAAAAAATTTTTTTGGCTTATCCAAAAGCTGGTCCGGTGTAAAATGGGGCAAGCATAGGGTTTTGGTGTTATGATTAACTTTGTGATTTGTTGGTTTTCTATTCCATCAATGGGTGTTTTTAACCCTTAATTCCTTCCTTTGGGGTCACTATTTGAGGTGACAGCTATCCATTTATCTATTTTTGCCTCACTTCTCTTTGTCTACTCTGGCCTCACCCCTGAGGTTTTGATATTCAGGGTTTTCATGGCCCAGAGGGTTCACATTTTCAATTTTTTTCACTTTATCTAATTTTTATTGCATCAGGGGGGGTCACTGACTTGGGCCTGGATGTGTCTTTGTGGTCTTCAGACAGCCATTTTCTGTGCATGGTCTGTGGATATTTAAAAAGGCACAAAACTCTAATTCTATTAAGTAAATCCTCTGAATCCATTTTTTTTTTTCTTTTACTGATGATTGTATCTGTTGATCACCCACTAGGAGCATGGACTTTCTCTTTGTAGGTCTATCAATTTTTGCTTTCATATTTTGAAGGGATATTAGTGGCCACTGCTCAGAACAGTCTAAATCATCTTTTGGAAGAGTTCCCCAGTACTGCCCTGCTTTCGCCCAGCTTGTCCATCCTAGGTGGAGGGTAAGTGTTTATGCAGCCGATTGGTAGAAAATAATCTGTGGTGTCCACAACATGTGATACAAGGTAAACAGTCCTTAATGCAGTAAGTGTATAAATATATAATTATAAACTGGTAAAAACTATGAGAAGAGAGTACTGCTAGCCTAGGTTTGCACTGGGGGGGGGGTATGACGGACCACCCAGGGTGCATATGTGATCTCAGAGCCCCATTCCCCTGAGAGCAAAGGGCTTGAAGACTGGAAAGGTGGCGAGTAGTGTACAGATGGCGGGGGGAGACCCACCCCGTCACCAGGGCAGCAGATGCAGGAGGAAGGAGGGACGTTGTGTGACACTCAGAGCCACAGAGAGAAAACAACACCACTGTCCTGCCCACAGGCAGTTCAGGAACCTGTGGGGTCCGACAGGTGTGGGCTAGGCGGGGGGGGGCTTTCTTCTCCCAGCTCCCCCACGAGGCGCTCCCTCAACCACGGTCCTAGGGAAAGGCGAGCGCAAGGTCGTAGCTGTAGGCCGGCGCCGTGTCGCCGGACGCTCGGCAGACGGGAAGCGCGCTCTGGAAGGCCAGCCGGTCCACGGCAAACTCGTAGGCGTGGATCAGCCCGCGGTGCCTAGAGGAAGCACATGGCCAGCGAGCGCGTCAGTACAGCGCTGCCAGCCCCCACCCCAGGCTGCACCCAGGACAGCGCTTCCTGTAACACGCGTGTCCCTCGGACACTCGGAATCCCCGGACTCGAGACAAGTCTGGCCGAGGGCATGGCCTGCTGGGAGGCCGGCAGCGGGGTGGAAAGTGTCAGCGTCAGGGAAAGCCAGGCCAGCAGCTGGAACGACCCTGCTGCGGGGGGTGGGGAGAAGCAGAGTCACCCTGCAGCTTGAGGAGGACAGGGCTTGGCCACCAGCACTAGGAGTCAAGCCACGGCCAGGCCCCTGAGCGCCCCAGCTCTCCTGGGGAGGCCCTCACAACTGCTAGAACGGCCGTGCCTGAGAGAAGACCCTGACGGGATTCTCCTCACAAAAATCAAACTGAGAGGGGCTGCTCTGAACCCTTGCAGCCCCAGCCCACTGACCTTCTGTGAGTGGTGAAGTTGTCCAGGTCCGTGTTGCGCACCACCCTCTCGTAGGGCACGTTGGCCGTGATGAGGCTGTGGCTGGTGAAGGACAGGTGACGAACGGGGTGCCTGGAACACAACAGGAGAGCCGTAGGAAAGGGAGCCCCCTGAAACTGGGCTCTAGAACCCTATGCCAAGCTTCTCATTGACAGAGGACAAGCCTGGGCGCTTGTCTCGTTGACTACCCAGCAACATGGTGTTTCGGATGTCAAGGAAGTTAGCCGCCTGCGGTAGAGAACAGCCCCATTTCGGGCTGGCTGGCCTTGGGTAAGTTCTCCAAGCCAGGCTCCCCAGCTCACGGTGTGAGGCTGAGTCCTAAAAGCCCCCTCCTTTACCATGGAGGTATGGACCATCTGCAGGTGCTTTCATGCTGCGACAATGTGCAACAATGGCTAGAGAGGGGATAGTGCCATACCCTGGGGCCGGAGCTGCAGGGAGAGCTGCCCTAGAAGGGGAGGTGGACCGGGTGCTTAAGCCAGTTCTTTCGGGGATGGCACCGTGGCCGAGTTTTAGCTGCCTTCCGGCACCACCTGGTGGCGAGTCCACGCATCACCACAGAAAGCAGGAAAAAGGATTACACACCTGCTCGCTGAGTAAGGCCCGGCTGGAGAGAGTCGGCAGTATAGCTCTCACCCAGGGCTCTAGTCTAATAAAAGCTGCTGAAGGGAGTGAGCACTAGCTCCCAGTGCTCTCTAAGAAGCAGCCAATTCGTCTTTTAACCTTGCCTGCTTTTGCACCTGACCTGGACTGCCCTGTCTTATGCGTCGGAGACTCCACTGGGTCTTGCCGACCTGAGCTGGGCAGGAGTCCTGGCAGCGATAACAGAGAGAGGAGCTGCCGCTCCAGGGACCGGGGTTCCTGGCCTGAGAAACGGAACCCCTGCAGCCGACCCAGGGGCTACGCCAACGACGGTGCAGGGAGCTGGCTCAGAGGCCGCCTGGCACCGTGAGCACCCCGTTACCTGGAGTGTACTTCCCACAGCTTCTGGCTCATCCTATAATCCCACACGGAGACCAGGCCTTCCTCGCCTCCGCTGACGATTTTCCAGTCATCCATCTGCACTGCAGAGACTCCCAGTTGGTGGGCAGACAGCGACAGGGCAATTTTGTCAGTGCGGAGGTCGTGGATCCTCACCCTGGAAGGCCCAAGATGAGCACAGAGAAGGGAAATGGGATGCAAGTTAAAGCCCGAAATGACACATTCATCCCCAGTGGTGCTCGTCTATGCACAATGATCTTGTGAAAACAGAACATACAAAAACCCCTTCGGTTGCAAACATCTAACTACCAGCAGGGACGTTGTATCCCCTTATGCGTGGTCGCAGAGGCTAAGATGCACAGGGAATGAGCTTGCTTACAGTGCTTGCAACTCTCTAGTCAGAATGACTTAAAAGCCCCTGGAACAAGAGAGACTCAAGAGAAATACCATGCTTTCTCTGCTTGACAGGGAAGACGCCTGCCCTGAGCACGAGTCCGCTCCGAGGGAAGGTGAGCGGGGACTGGCGTGCGACTGTGCAGGCTGTCCCAGTGGTAAGTGAGGTGTCCAGCACAGTAGTAGTGCTGGCCATCTAAGATTCTGTTAAGGGCAGGAGGTAAACCAGCCACACGCGTCTGCAACCCAGATCCTTACCCGGTTGGGAAATCCACACTTTTCCGGTATATAACTCGACTCTGTAAGTTCATTACCTTCTTGTTGAAATTTGGAAAGGGATGTGTCTGTCTATGGTTGACTATGTGGACAGTTGGCTGCCACTTACCTGAAGTCTCAAAGCAATTACTTGCTTTGTCATAATCTGAATTTAAGAACCTCTTTAAAAACTACTCTTTACCTAAGAATATGTTGAATTTCCACATATGGACAAATTAGACAATGAGACAGAAATTTCTCATCCAGCAGAAACACCAACATAGTTCTGGAAATAAGCCACAAGAGCAAAAATTAAATGTGGCAAAATTTCAGTACAGGTGAATTTAACAGCCTCTGCGCTGCAAGTCAAGAAGGAAAAGACCCTACCACCCAGCGGGGGAGCTGGACAAACCCAATGCTGACATGTTATATGTGGTCCCGACAAGTGTTGAGGAGAGATGATCTGAAACACATTCTGTGTCCTAAACTCTCAGTTATGAGCATGCACACACTAGATCTATTGTTTTCAGAGTTATGAGGAACATTAATTTGAACCAAAAATTCTATATCCAGTGTAGCTACCAAGTTTAAATGCATAATTGATTTTTTTTTTTTTTTAACAGAAAAAGACCCCAAATCAGCTACCTGTGGATACTTTCGAAAAGAAAGGGATGTAGCAAAATCCTGGCAGAGCACACAGGCCCTGGAGATGAATAAAACACTCAAATGTAGCACCAGACTGACCGCTTAAGACCTAACATGCTTCCTCAGTCATGGATGCACGCAGGACAAACCCACATATTAACAGTAAGTGCTCTGAATGGATCACAAAGTAGAACAACACAGGCAACACAGGAAGGGTGGACTTCAGGACAAGAAGCTTTAGAATGACGAAGGGGAGAGTTTAGTAAATGTTTGGTAAAACCGCCCGGCGGCGGGGGGGGGGGGGGGGGGGAGGGGGGACTTACATGGACCTAGTTTTTGTAGTTTGTTTTTTTTAAGTAATTCAGTTTCTTGAGTCATAATCTACTCAGGTTTAAGCTGATTTTCTTAAGTCTCCAAATCTGAAAACCTAAATGAAATAAACAACTTTCTAGAAAAATGAGAATTACCCAAACTGACCTGCCCCGCCCCCTCAAGGATAGAAAAGGCTACAAGGAGCAGACTGGGAAAGCCATCAAGGACGCAACTGCCCCACAAACCAGCTAAATGGGCCCCTCCTGGAGGGAAGAGCCCAGGGACTCTGCACACCGCTCCACAGCCCGGCAAGGCTTCCCACGTCTGTCTGTGAAGCCGGCATTCTGTCCTCCCCCAAACTGACCGTGACAGCAGGGTATCAAAGACAACACGAGATCGGTGTCAGCGCTCGGGCCAAAATACAGAATTCGTCAAGGATATCTATTAATCTAGTTCACCGAGTCACTACAACAAATCATGGATACTGAAACGTGAGGAGATAGAGCACTTATTTCTAATGAAGGCTTTAAGATAAACAGTGATCTTTTACTAATACTTCACATTGTTTTAAAAATTAGGTACAATTAGGGCGCCTGGGTGGCTCAGTTGGTCAAGCGACTGCCTTCGGCTCAGGTCATGATCCGGGAGTCCCGGGATCAAGTCCCGCATCGGGCTCCCTGCTCAGTGGGGAGTCTGCTTCTCCCTCTGATCCTCCTCCCTCTCATGCTGTCTCTCATTCTCTCAAATAAATAAAATCTTTAAAAAAAATAAAAATTAGGTACAATTAGATACAAGAATGAGAAGTGGACAAGTTTATTAGAAATGACAGTCGAAGATAATTCAGTAATAACTCAATCAAATGAAATATGTCAAAATCAATAGCTATCTTAGGTACAAACAACCACTAGTTTTAAAAACTGTACTCAAAAGATCTCACTTATAAAAGCAATTAAAGACAATACCCTATAATAACTTTCTCAACTTGGAGCTCCACCAGCTACATTGCATCAAAATAAATTCTAGATGGCTCAAAGAGTTAAGTATAATTAGCTACAAGAATATTCAGAATAGGGAAGGCCCTTCTAAACCAAAAAACCTCAAAGTCAAGAAGGAAGATATTGATAACTATATATAAAAGTGTTTAAAATTTTCCTACATGGGGAAAAAAAAATCAAAGTCAAGGCAAATGATAAACTGGGGGAAATGTTTGCAACAGAGGTAACTGGCTAATTTCTTGTTAAAAAAATTCATTCGAATTGAAAGTAAAGATTGGCAACCCAATATTAAAATAAGAGAAAAGCTAAGAAAAAAAGTTAATAGGAAAATACTAATGGCTTTTAAACATGTGTGAGATGTGTTCACTGGTAATGAGAAATTATGAACTAAAATTACATTTGGATACCACCTGTTGCCTATCTATCTACCTGGCAAAGGTCAAGTTTGGTAGTAAACTCTGTGAGACCCTTCATGCTGGGGAGCCTTGGACAGACAGGTACTTATGTATGCCTGATGTGAGCACGCCTCTTTGGGGTGTGATCTGGCAATATTCAACAAACAATATACTTTTTACTTTTGACCTAGCAGTTTTGCTTCTAGGAATTTATCTAGGCTGTGTCTAATATGTGTATAAAAATACACACATGGACATATAAGGCCATTAGCTACAGCACTGTTTTTAGTAGCAAAAGTTGGAGTTTCTGTTTCAGACAACTTACCCTCCCACTGAAAATCACTTAGTACCGCTGGATAAATAACACCCTTTAAAAGGCACTGCTGGGTTCACAAAGCAAGCGACTGCCCCAGGGCCCAAGCTGGAGAGCAGCCTGGACAACCTGGGGTGGGGCGAGCCTTCTGGTAGATGCCAACCTCAGGAACCAGCGGCAAGATGGTAAGACTTGGGCCCACCCAAAATGGGGTGGGGAGTGGGAGTCAAGACGCCTGCCTTAAAAAAAAAAAAAAAAAGCCACATAAAACTTCCGGAAATGAAAATACCACTCCTGAAATTAAATTCAGAAGAATTTGTGTATTAGACAATAAATCTGAAAGATAACCTAAAATGGAGAACCGATAAACAGATGAAAAACGTGACTGAGGGGTTAAGAGATGCAGATGATAGAAGGGGACAGTTCACCATGGGGCAATATCCATATAGTTAATGCCTGGTATTTTTCTAGAATTCATGAAAGGCATGCATACTCACACTCCATGAGCACTAATCAAAATAAGAATTACATATTTCTAAGTATCCTACTGAAGTGACAAAAAGAGGTCCTAAAAGCAACCTGAGGAATAAAGCCATCACCGGTCCAGGGCTGGGAACAGAGGGGCCGGGACTCTCTCAGCGCTGGCAGCACAGTTAACCCGCCCGTCAGTCAGCCGGCGGCCACACAGGGGGGGGGGGGGGTGCCTCTGTGCGGGGGCAGGGCCGCTGGGCCGGCAGGCAGCGCTCACCAAGCCACTGCCACCCGTGAGGAGCGCGGCCCGGGGCTGTGACAGGTGTGGGCGTGCAGACACCCCGTGGAGGAGGACCGGGCTGCTCAGGAAGAGAAGTGCCCAGAAGCCTGGCTTCTCCGTTGCTTTTGTATTCAGCTCTGAATGTGTAGGTTACCTGTTTAAGTGAAGCTGGAAAATTTTAAGATTTTGGGGGTGCCTGGGTGGCTCAGTCGGTTAAGCGTCGGACTCGGTTTCAGCTCAGGGCTTGATCTCAGGGTTGTGAGATCGAGTCCTGTGTTGGGCTCCGAGCGCTGGGTGTGGAGCCTGCTTAAGAGTCTCTCTCTCCCGCCCTCGCTCCCCGCCCACACTCTCTCTTTGAAAGGGAAAAAAAAGGGAAAAATCTTAAGATTCTGGAAGGACACAAACTGGTGACAGCAGGTACCTGGGGAAGAGTGGCAATAGCAGAACGAAGGGGATAAAGGCACCTTTTCCTTCTAAGCGGAGGCACTGCGGGGTTGTTTCAGAAACAGGAACTCATTCGTGAGGGGGGAGGGGGCACCCCGCGTTCTTCAGGGGTACAGGCCGTGCTGTTTCTTAAGCTGGGGGAATGCGCAGGCATTCTGTGACTAAACTGGACACATAGCTTACATACGCTCCAGATAAAACTGGACTGGAGAAATACGTAGTCCCAGAACATGGAGACGCGCTCGTTCTTCCCGGCCAGCGCGGGGAACCATCCCGGCCCCGCAGCGCGCTGACGAGCTCCGTGACTAGGGCCGCGCGGTCCTCCCTCCCCAGGGAGGTGTCGGGGGCTACAGATGCAGGGAGAGCACGGAACAGGCTCGGAAAACAAAAAGTCTCCCTCTCCGCATTTAGAGCCGCTTGAGGCATTTGTGCGAAAGAGAAGGGAGAAAAGGTGTAAATGCTGTGAAGGGAGCACTGCCCGTAGGCCACAGCTGCACTGCTCACTCACGGCACCTTGTAAAGGATGGGGGGCGGGGGGAGATTCTAGCCCAAGTACTTTCCAGCGCATATTTGGTTAATAAGGGTCTATTTTGCTGGGGTGATTTTCATAAAGAGCTCCTCTGTTGAATATTTATACTCCATAATTTACAGTTT